AACGTGGGCATCCTACTTGTCATAGGGAAATCGAGCTTTGCAGTTCGGACTTTCAGCGGTGCCATTGGGCTTATCCGAAAGCACAACGCTGCACGAAGAAGGCACGCTGACGTGTATACTAGCGTGCTGATTCCCGAGCACAGAACAACTCGTCATTACGAACATAGCGGGAGAGAGGTGAAACAAGCCCCGATGTTTCTCGTGCCCTGCCGGGCAAAGGGAGACGATCAACTCACTCATCAAACAAACACACAGGCAAGGGACATGCATGTGTGCTACGGGCTAGCCGTAGATGACCAAGAGGTGCAAGGAGGCGGTTCGAAGTGGAAAAGGCTTTAAACAGATAAGCGAGACACGACAGAAAGGTAGCTCTGCAAAACTGGTGCAGACTAAGCTGGGCGGTGGTCCAGCTAACCAATGAGGAAAGGAGCCGCACGTCGCCGAACCAAGCACTCCTTCAGGCCACATTTGTCCATCTTCACTGACATTTTACGTCGCTGTCCGGCCCCACCCCCTCAAACTCACCCCCGCCAATGCCGCTGCCTTTGATCTCATCCACTCTGCTTAATATCGTAGTTGGGTGCAGATAGCTCGTTTCATCACCTGCATTTCGTCGGTGATGCAGCGACCGGTGGGGGTTCAGGTGCGTGCACGCGAGCGGAAGGGATCAATGAAAGAGTGAAAGAGGCAGGGGGGCTCGGCACGACTACGTAGGTTTACGAGTATTCATAAACGCGTTGTGGGTGTGTTCGTCATCAAACCGCGCGTTGAACAACCATGTAAACTACCAACATCTCGCATCCTGTGCGAAGCTGTGGTGTATCTGGGTAGGTAGGGTTGCATCGCAGCAGTGCCGACACCTCCTGTACGTTCCGTCGTATAGGAGGAGCTAGGGTTAAGGATTGGCCCCCCCGCCCCCCAATGGGGCTGGGGGCCAACATCCAGGCCGGATGGTGGTGAGTGTCCGGGAGGAAGGAAAGAAGAAGAAGAAGGGGAGAGGATTTGTAGGGGCGGGAAGAAGGGACGGTGTTGGAAGAGGCAAGGAAGTGGTGAAGAATTTCGGCACTCAACGAGCACGCGGTCCCGTCGGGGGTGAAAGGGACATGTCAGTCCGAAGTCTTGTCTATCGGTAATCGAAAAGCCGAAAAATCGAGGTATACATTGTGTACATAACGATGGAGAAGGCCTACGTGGAAGGTACGAAGAGAGAAAATTGCACCCCACGTTCGAAGTCGGTGTGAATACCGCCGCAAGGAAGTCGTGCGAAGAGAACAAAAAAAAACGGAGACGTCGACGCTTGCGTCGTGGAACGATCCTTCCGTATAACGCAGGTACTCACCAATCCAAGACGGGGAGGTAAAATACCCATCGTGAAAGTCAAAGCGCAGGTCATAACCGCATATACAGATGGCGCCCGCACTTAAGAACATCTTAATTTGCGTGAGGCTGGGGTTCTTAGTTGCCTGTTGAGGTTGCGAATGGCCATTATATAGGTTTTAGTGTGAGGTTCTTAACGGGGACCACTAAAATACGCTCATGTTCATGAGTTTTGGATTTTTTGAGCCTCATGTTCTTAACAGGTAGGTTCTCAAGTGCGGGCGCCATCTGTATATGACTCATGCGTGGAGAAGTTACCACGGAGACTTATCAACAAGACGTTTGAAGGCCGGCTGAGAAGGTTTGAAGACACAAGCCCTTAAGCGACGATGGCAATCGCAACGGCAGGAAGCTGCCGTGACAACACAAGTACCTCGACACTCCTATCACGACTTCTATGTACGTACCACAGTATTTCGTAGTAGTATATACGATTGGAATATCCCCAAGGAGAGCCTTTGCGGGGCAACAACTGCAGAGAGAGCGGGAGCTCCGCGTGTACCTGTTGGTGGACATGTGGCAGGCGCACGACACGCGAACGGATGCTTGCATCGCATAGTAATAATAGTAGTATGTCTCGCCGTCGCAGAAGGTATCCCATCCAGTCATGGTCGTTGCCTGCCGTACTAGGCGGACGTCGTTCGGCGTCTGGTCCACACTGCTGTGAAGCAAAAAAAGTGATCAAGTATGCATGCACGCAATTTTTTTTCTCGTTGTTGCAGGAACACTTGGTTCCATAAAGAACCTTTTGGAATTATTGCCATGGAAACCACGGAAATGTGTCATGAAGGGCCATGGAACTTGTGGCAAGCCATGGAAATTTCCGTGGAAAGGCCATGGAATATTCCATGGATTCCATGGAAAATGCCACGGAGTCCATGGAGTCCATGGGCCTCCATGGGATATTCCATGGAAACCTACGGAATTCCATGGAGCTCCATGGAGTGCCATGGAGTGCCATGGAACGTTCCATGGAGCTCCACGGAACTCCATGGGGCTCCATGGAACTCCATGAAATATCCGTTCTGTCCATTCGTTTTACAGAAGAAGTGTTCTCGGAGGAAGCCAAACGCATCGACCCTCACGCCAAAACAAAAACCAATTTGGATTTCTTTCTAAAAGCCTATTATCATGCAATACCGCCATGGACGTCCCGTGAAAACCCATGGGACGTCCCATGGGTTCCCACGGTAAAAACGCCCATGGTGCGTCCCATGGGTGCCCACGGAACCTATGGACCGCCCACGGGCCCATGGGGCGCCCCATTACAGCCCATGGGTACCCATGAGACGCACCACATGGGCATTTTCCCCTTGGGAAAACCCATGGGACGTCCCATGGGTTCGGGACCCACGGGTTCCCATGGGACGCACAGGATAATGTACAAGACCTGAAAATTGTCGTGGTTCCCACCCACTTACAACATAATTTGCACCTGTTGTATGCAGTCTTCACAGATGAATTCGAATCCACATCGATCGTCGGGCTTGTTTCTCCATCTCACTCGGTAAAACTTCACACCTTTGACATTCGATTGGGGCAATAGTATGTTGTTGAACTACTTCTGGTTGTATTGTTGTGGAATATGACGTTCGAAGATGATTCTCCAGATCAGATTTGAATCAACGACCTTACGTGGTTCCCACCCACGTACATGTGAACATAACGTTACACCAGTCAAAACATATATTCTTCGAATAATATTCTTCGAATTAGATACTTACATACGTTCTAAAGATCATGGCGAACACGCATCAAGAGGTTTGTTCCTCATCTAACAAGACCTCAACGTAGCACTTCGGTTGAAGTCTTTTTTCTCGGGTGGGAAGACTACAACTGTACTCCGTACTGTTGAAGATGATTAATCAGATGTGAATCAGCGAACTTTCGAGGTTTCATCCCATGAACAACAGAGAACCAGTACAGTGGCCCGTCGCGTGCCATAGTGCCTTGCCTTTCCGTCCCTCTCTCTCTCTGCATCCCAGCATTGACACAATAGAAAACCGCTGGAGGTGGGAAGACGGAAAACATGCTTCGCGGACGGCGTTTGCTACACACGAGATGTCCATGTTGGAGACTGCACGGGCACGCGTTAGGTGATGGGCCAAGTTCAACGTGTGAACCGCATGTAATCCATCAGTGCATGCTTACATGAGTAAAGCGGAAAGAACGAACGAGGGCCTGACTCCGTTCCATGCAGGTGGTTGAAATCATTGGGGGCTGAAACAGATCGCCGGAGCCAGTCTGCCCAGGTGGGTGTGACTACAGCAGCCAATATGAGAGAGATCAATGCCTTGCAACGGACTCCCTTCTCAGACACCCACCTGTCGGTGCAATGAGGTTCAAATTGTGCGCCAATATTCACCCCATAATTTCACTACAGACATGAGCTCATGCGATTGGGGGTGGGCCAAGGCTAGTTCTGTTACATGCATCCAGTCGGGGTGCAAACATATTTCATACGAGAACGGAGTACAGGAGGCATGTGATCTGCATGGCAGGGGCCACTCCGCCTCTAAAACACCGACCTCGCCCCTGTCTCACCAACAACGCGAAACTCCGAACGCCCGAATTCGAAGTGCGCACACACACGAAGCTTTGGTTGCCGCCCGTCGCACGCTGCCCCACAGCTAGTGCGAGAATTTTTCCCAAACCCACCACGGCGCAGTCACCCGCGGCCCACGAATATGGAGGATTCGAGCCGGAAACGCCACAGATGTACGTCTACAACGCAGACACGCCGGGGCTTCGAGCTTCAGACAAGCCGAAGGAATGAAAAGAGGGCCGTTCTTTGCCACCTGCCGTGGAACAAGAGTTCAAGAGGCCGTGCTAAAGAGGTGCTCTCCAACCCAATCCGTCCAAGCACGTTTGTGATTTTGAGTCACTCCTCATGACATCTACACCCCCGAACGATTTCCCCACAAGACACTGTCCAAAACCCAGCGGCCGAAAGATATGACTGTAGGCCTCACCACCAACACTGAAGGCAGCGCGACCAAGGGCAAAAGGATATTGATGTTCCCTCCACTTTCTTGCGCAAGCAGCAAACACCGATCAGAGAGAGCTGTCGCGTCCCTGCACCTATAGCAACTGACGACAATGAAGACAGCCCGGGGGACTACGTAGCTGACGTGCACCAATTTGTTTGCAACCTCAGGGCATCCTGCCAATTTACCAACCGTCCAAGGGTCTCAACAGACGCATACATGGACAGTGACGAGCAAGCTACAGATACCGTAAATCGCGTGGGAATCCACACACACCCGACCGGTCTTCAAGGCTATAGAATATTCCGCACGAAATACAGTGACTCCTGAAACTGGCGGCGGCAGAACCGTCTCGATAACAGCGTTCCGAAATGTTGGCATCCTCTTCGTCGTGCATTAATCGAGCTTTGAAATTCGGTCCATGGGTGTCATTGGGCTCATCCGAAAGCACATCGCTGCGAGGTTAAGGGATGCCGAGTATGCTGACGTACTGCTGTAGCGTGCCGATGCACGAGCACAGGTACCACTCTTCACTTTTAACACGGCAACGGAGAGGTGAGACAAACCTCTATTGCGATCATGGTCCGGCTAACGAATATGCCAAGCAGCAGCACTTCGCCGAACCAAACAAAAAACTCATGCCACCTCCATCTTCACTGGTCCCCCTACGTCGCCGCCCGCCCCCGCCCCTCCCTCAAACCCATCCCCGCCGCCGCCGCCGCCGCCGCCGCCGCCGCTGATTTCGTCCGCGCGGCGATAAAGCTGCTCGAAGTCCGGGGTACAGACAGCTCGTTTCGTCACCTGCGTCGTGTCGGTGACGCAGCGACCGGTGGGGGTTCAGGTGCGTGCGCGTGAGGGAGAGGGGTCAACGAAACAGGGCAAGAGACACGGCTCCCGTCCAAGTGAATGCGGGAGTGACGTGAATCAAAGTTGTCCTTCAGCAACAAGTTTTTCCCCATGCGCCATGTGTGATATGTACTGGTGAGAGCGATATCTACCCCTGGAGATAGCTATCGCTTCCTCAGGTATCTCCACGCAGGCTTAGAGGGATGGAAGAGAAGCAGTGGTAGGCCATCGGAGGACTTTTGAAACACCGCGCAGCGTATGCTACAGAGGGCGGGAAAACCGGCCATGACAAAAAATATCACATCCGCTACCATGTTCACCGAAATGCAGGGCATAATCACGAAGGAATCCGTCAACGACAATACTTATCTCTCGTTGCTCCAACGAGCTATTTGTCATTGGACTAGACCTCGGAAGCATCACCAGACCAACATAGTCGTGACCGCCTCCCGCCTCCCGCCCCCGAAACCGAGTGTCAAGAAGCGGAGGCGTACGACAGCACCGTCGTCTGATACGCCCCCCCCCCCACGCCCTGTCCCTACCTGTCCGAAGGAGCAGAACGTCTTTTGCTTGGCGTCGATGCTAACGCCCTGTTCCACGAACGACACCGGCAATCCTGGGTGCACCACTAGGCTCACGCCTCCAATCACTAGCCTAGCCTTGCCGGACTGGTGCACGTAAAGCTGTACACAGCAAACAGTGATGTGGGGAGTAGGGTGTTGGGACCCGCGGTGGGAAAAAAATGTAGTCGACAGGCTGATGCATCCTTACATTTCTCCACAAAGTCGCGGGAGGCTGACAAGCGGGGCAGGTGTGCGTACGTGTGTCGGTTGTACGTGCGTTACCATTTAGGAAGGGCAAGACGAATACACTAGTTTTAGTAGGGTCAACGAAAAGCGAGTTCTATTCCGCGGGGTCCTCGACAGCGGGGTGGGGGGGGGGAGGACTAGGTTTACAGGTCACGTCCCCGCAACGAGCGAAACAAAAAAAAATGGGGTTGTGTACGTGTTCGTCTTCACGCCACGTGATATGTTCACACTACACTATCACAAACTCTTCGCATCCTGTGCTAAACTGACGTGTACTTGGGCTGGTGTGCTTGCATCGCTATGTAGCCCATGGGACAGCACTCGTTGCTGTCGATTCCGGTTATGTTGGGTGGCGAGGGGCCGCCGTGTGAAATTTTCAAAGCGGCACACTAGCATCGCCAAGTCAGTGAATGGTGCGAACGGGACACGCGACTACGGGGCAAAACCGCGAACTACAGCGCAAGCCACAGGCACGGGGGAAAACATCCTGCCAAGCCACGGGACAAACTTCTCTACTAACGAGACATGACACGAAGAACCCATTGGACGCCTATCGACTGTCGACGACCAGATCAAAACCAATATCAACAGCAAAAATAACAACAAACCCGCACCGATCAGCACCACCACCGCCAACAACAACAACAACGACGACAACGGTCGCAGTCCAGCCGGCGCTGGTACATACCTTGCCAATCTTGCCAGGGCGCATTCGCCGGAGCCCCCGATCGAATGCCACGTCGTCCGCCGCTATCTCGGAAGCCTTCTCTGCCGCAGCACCCGTTCCCTTGCCGCCGGTAGCCCCAGCAGCTGCTCCTCCTGCACCCGATTCCCCCGCCTCCTCTTTAACCGCGGGGCCTCCTGCTTTCGGAAGGGAAGAACCGGGAAAACAAGGGGGGGCGCAAAACGAACATCAAGCTAGGGGAAAGCGTGAACGGGAGGGGGGTACTAGGGGAGCGGAGACGGGCAACGTCCAAGCACAAGCAGTTGGTACATGGTGTTGTTGTTGTTGTTGTTGCTGCTGCTGCTGCTGCTGCTGCTGCTGCTGTTGGTAGTGGTGGTGAGGGTGAGGGTGAAACTGTTGTTGTGGTGCTCGGTGGTGTTGATGGTACAGGAGGCTCCACGACAAAGCATGCTCTTGACCCTCTTATCCAGTACCCCTTTCCTCTACCCAAATATCTTGGCGAAAACATTGCTCCGGCAATGACGGGCACCAAAACAACCAGCTCACGAAAAGCAAAGCGGGTTAACGCAACACAGATGCCACGGTGTACGTCAGAGCGATGTGAGCGTTATCAGTCCATTTTATCTCGCGAGAAAGGCGAAAGGCAAGCAATTCTGACCCGCAACGGCCTGAATACAAAAAAAAGCACATGCACCCGTCCACAACCGGCTCACCCGTCGCCTTCCCCTTCCCCTTCCCCTTGCCCCGCACGGGCGCGGAAGCGCCGTCCTTCCCTCTCTGGCACGCCGCCAGCGGCCTGGGAAGCTTGGTAGGCAACTGCACGAAGAAGAGGCTGCTGTCTTCCTCCTCTGTTAGCTCGGCTTGGTTCTGACCAGGAAATGTGTCGGCGAAGGGCGAGGAGAGGCGAGGTGACGCGTGCGTTGATCGTCGGTGCAGAGGGGGGGAGGGGGGGAGCGTCCATTTCATGCAATGGCTCGCCTCAGATGTTGTTTCGCGTTACATTACCAGATTGTACTATAATAGCAGGAGAACCAGTTCGGTTTCCGAATAACAACGTCGTCTGCCAAAAGCTCAACACATGCTTTCAACGTCTCCATTTCCGCTGCAGCTAGCGCCCGCGCTCAGCAACTTGGCAGTAAAGAAATCGATGTAGCCTCGAAAAGCTCATATATGTAGCGGCCATTCGAACCATAACCCTAGGAACTAAGAACTCCATCCCTAGCAAAAACTAGGTGCGATTTACGTTGGCAGTGATCAACGTCTTCATTTTCGCGATTAAAAGTGGTGTATCAAAGTGCACTATTATAGCGTCGGGTGTCGTTCACATCCTCCCACGAGTTTCGGCACCGTCATCAGCAACCCAGTTTTCCTCCCCTAATCTGCAGCATTGGGCTTTCTTTGCCACGACCGAATCGCAACAGCTCGGTTCTTACCGGTAACCCTGACGGGGATGGTATACCGTGTCGTGTACAAACGCAGCACAATTCCAAAAATGGGACGTTGTGACAACTCCTTCCGTCTCAAAGAACGAGGCTCGACACATGGCTTGCCAAGGTGTATAGTGGATAGGCATCAGGATGGCATCAGGATGGCGTGCAAACAGTGACAACAAGTCAGGTTTCGTTGCTCCCTTCCTTCGTCGCTACCGTACTGCATGCACCCAAGGTGGACACAAGATAGCACACCACCTGGGCCGACTGTCAAAGCTCGATTACTCCACGACGAAGGCGGTGAATGACTCATACGAAACGTTTTCGGCAAGCTGCCGACGACACGGTTTCAACGCCGCCGTTTTCGGCGCTGCTGGCGGAGATATCGAGTTTCGAAAAGGGGTCCGGGGGGTGTGATTTCCAACGTCACGTGGGTACTCACGTTGCCCGGGGGGAATAGACGCGACCCCGGGTTTTGCGCGGTCGCTGGGACGGGAAGACCCCCCGGTCGCATAGATTCTTTTTCAGACAGGACGTTTCCGGTCCCCGGGGGAAGGGGGGGGGGGGGGGGGGCATACTCTTATGTTTGCATGCCTTAGCGGTTAGACCATTGACCACGCGCCCTTGAGAGGACGGAGCATTGTTCCCACAGGACCGATCACCGATGGCCAATCGTTCCTTCCTACTTTGTCAAAGGTGGCTCAAAAATGTCTTCCCTAGTCCGCCTATCCTAACGATATCCCTTCCCGCCTTTTCAAACCACTTCCTACTCCCCAGTACAGCTACCGTCCTCTCCTCTCTATTACATGCCTCAAACATCTCCCTGTACGTCCCTTCTATTTTTCCCAGCTCAGTCATGTACATTTCCCTCTCCTTATTGTACAGCCGACAATCCGCGACTACATGAACACGGTCTTCGCATTCGAAGCCGCAATCACATTTGAACTTGTCGTCTTCGTCGTCTACCGTTATATGTCTTCGTCGACGTTCTCGAAGGCCTATGTCCCCGGTCCTGAATTTGACCTGAAGCTTTGTCCCTGCATCCATTGGTCCATGTAGGTATTCCTTGAACCCTATGCCTTCTTTCAACATTCCGTACACTTCTAGACCCTCCTTATCCTCGGTTTCTTTCCTTAGATTCTGTTCTTCTCTCTCGGCACAAGCAACAGATATCTTCTTCTTGAACCCCTGTATACCCTCCGTTTCCAGCGTTTCATCTTCGTCGATGTCGAACCCCTTCCATACGTCCTCTACAACCTTGACCCATTCCGTGGGTTGTCTACTCCTCTTTTTGTTTGCCCACTTCGCCTCCACTACTATTCTCGGCAACCTCCCCTCTCTAATCCCGCACATGCGATACTGCCATGTCAGCTTCCTTGCGTCTTTTCCCGATCGTAGGGATTGGATCCCCAATTCTGCCCTGACGGCTGCCTTACTTGTGCGGAAGGGGGGGAAACAAATGAAACCGGTTGGCAAGTGCGAGAAAAACAAATTTCCCTACTAAACGAAACACACCAAAAATTATGAGAAATCCCCAGGAGTTGTACTCCGTGGTGCTGGTATGTCATCTTCTCATTAGATTTCTAAAACAAACAACAGCATCTTCAACAATAACGCCGACAACCACAACAACAAAAACAAGAACAAAAACCAACAACCAACAACTATAATACCCCAACTGCCCATGAACCACCGACTCACCCGCATGCCCGGGAGCTTGGAAGACCTCGACCGCCGCCCGACGTCCGAGCCAATCAGAGTCAACACGTCCCCCCCCTTCCCCCCCCCGCCCTTCGACACCGATTCGCCGACACCAAACATATTATCATCGTCATCTTCCTCTTCACCCGCCCCGCCGGAGTCTCCCGATGCTGACCCCTTAAGACCGGCCGCCGAGCTACTACCGCCACCCTCGGCATCTTCCTTGACAGCGCTACCGGCGGCGCCAGATTTACGGGAATGGGACGACCGCGTCCTGTCCTGCTCGTCTGGGGGGGGGGGGGGAGGGGGGGACACGGGCGAGGTTCGGGAAAGAGGGTGTGCGTTGGAGGAGACGTCTGGACAACAGGATGTTTGCTGCAATCGAATTGCGGGCTTCGCTTGCCTGTTTGGCCTCTAGCCTGCACGCCCCACACTAGCTACAGCCAGGAAGAGGGTCGAGAGACCGGACCGTGTTGGGCGGGTGGGCTGGGGACATGATAATGCTGGGGGGCCCCAAGAACCGAAGAATGGTAGAAAACATAGAATAATACACCAGTGAGCGGGCAGCGGCTGCGGGTGAAGGTACAGCAGTAGGAACACTGCTTTTCGAGTAAACCACCTCCTTGGCAAGCTGCCCTCGTTTCCCCAGGCACACCATCAATTGACAACCCAACCGCCGCCGGCGTTGACCAATGCCCCCTTCACCCTACCCTTACCCCTGCGCGCGCGAGCACCATGGTCTACCCCACCAGGTCTCTGGTCCCCCGCTCGCCTCGCGAAGGATCCATGGTATTCAATATCCTTCGTGAAAGAAAAAGAAACTAGATGAAGGCCACTCTCGCCCTCAATCCCTGCTCCACAGGAACCAAACTTCGACGGCAAACCACACGACGACCAACTACAACATACAACAGCGACAAACGGCAACCCTGTGTGCGCGTTTTCGAAATTAACATCGACCGCACTAGCCGGCTGACCAATGAAAAGATTATTGTAGCGGGATAAAAAACACGGAACAATTTCTAGCCAAAGGGTGAGTGAGGCTTCTACAGACGGGGGGGGGTACAGGAGTGGGGCGACAGGGTCCTGCTTCTCCAGTACGAATAGTATCAGACACCATCGTTGCTGCACAACGCTTTGTGCGTGTACATCGTCCTAAGCACCCTGGGGGCTGATGCAGTCTTTCAACGTGTATCTTCCAGGCGATGCAGTCTTTCAACGTGTATCTTCCAGGCGCATCAGCCCAGCAAGTACGACGGCAAAAAAAAGGAAAAAAAAACACTCCGCCCCCCGCGCCCAAGCACCACTCTCACCTTCTGACTCGGATGTGTCTCCTCCGCCCCTCCTGCCTCCGCCGCCCCCGTCGCCGCCAGCGGTAACCCCGGCCGGCATATAGGCGGCGGGACCGCTGCCTCCGCCCCCGACAAAAAAATCCTAAAAAAAAAAGTAATAAAAAAAAAGTGAGAATATTCGGACGGATACAAACAGAACGCCAAGTTAGGACGAACTCGAAAGAAAAAAGCGAAACGTTGCATCTTTTGTAGACAAAGCGAATCAAGCAAACCAACCCTAAACTGGTGCACAATACTAGTGCAGAAGAGGCTATCTGATTGTGGTCTTCCTGGTGGCTTGGGGAAAATATCTATTTAGCACCCTCGAAATACGCACAAGTAGACCGCTACAACGTGTCAAAACCAACAACACACAAAAGCCTCCAGTCTACGTAGACGACATGGCATCACACCTCTGCAATGCCGTTAAGGCAACCAAGGCACCAGAGGGAGACCGGGTTCACGAAGAAAGCAGCCTCACCTGCCCAACGGGGACAAAACCGCCGCGCCCCCTCCCCCTCCCCCTCCCCCCTGCCCTTCCCCCGCCGTGTCTCCCGCGTCCCCCCCCGCCCCCCCGCCCATCTCGCCCGCCCGTCCCCTGCCAGGGGCGGTCTCCCCGCCCTCTCCCTGGACAAACGATAGAGCCAAGACAGAAACGAGCCAAACTCTTACAAATAACAAAAATATATATGAACAAGCGAACCCTTTCCGATTTGCTGCTGTACCGAACGAGAGTGAGACGAGCCGAAAAAAACACGAATCAACAACCAAAAATTGAAAAAAAAAATTGCTCTGGAACAAGCGAACCCTTTTCTATTAGCTGCTGTGCCGAAAGAGAGAGAGAGAGAGAGTTGTAAGCGAAGGCCGCAAACCGCTGCCCGGCGGGGGGCAGAGGTTTTGACGAAACGCCAACAATGAGAAAATGGCCTGTTCTCTCTCTCGCCACCGAGGGTGCAGACAGCTACATATACGTAGGGAGCCAAAAAGGAGAACGCCCGCAAACGCCGTGCGTACGGCCGGGTTGTCGTACCTTCGTACCCCCTTCCCCCCCCCCTTCCCCACACGTCACCCCTCTCGCCGCCGTCTTCCCCTGCCCCCGCGCCTCTGCCGGAACGGTAGTTGGCCGCTGCTCCGCGGTAATCGGTAACTGAGAAAGAGGCACCACCACGAGAAAACAGGGAAGGGGGTAACGCAGTTGTGCTTAGAGGGGGGGGGGGGGCTCATGTAAATGCATGCCGTATTCGGTGCAGTAGGACATAGATATCGCATCCCTGCAATGCCGTGACGGCGCGATATGCCAGAGGGAAGGGATAACGCACAAGTGGTTTGAGTTGGCACGATGGTACGTGAGTTGGCTAACGGTGGCTTGAGCTGACACAAGAGGGCGCGCGCCACAAAGACGGGAGCCAAAGCGCAAAAATTCTACTGTAAGTTCAATGATATTTCCAATCAGGGATGATGAAAAACTACAGCAGCAAAGGAAACTCGCCGTCCCAAAACACATTCGAACACACGCACAATCAACGCAACGAACACGAGAGCAGAGTGATATTTCAGTTGCTACCCTCTCCGTCTTTAATCCGGAGAGTAGCTTAGCCTGCCCCATGACCCTCACGGGGACCCCAGTCACGCGTTTAGAACCATTATTTTGTTATAAGCCGCCCCCAAAAAAGTCGTCTTGTTCTTCGTCAGCCGGTTAGCGTGGTCGACGCTAGTACTAGAATCAAACAGACGTTGTCGTTCGACATCCGCCCTAGTCCACCTGTGAGGGGGCTCCTTTGACTGGACACATGTTCGGGAAATTTCTGTAACCCCCGAAACAAGGCGGACTTATATTCCCAAACAGATCGGCCGGTATGCGCGGTCGAATGCTAAACAACAATAGAAAAACGTGCAACACACGCCACCCCCACGGCCACAAAACTCACCCGAAAGGCGCGCGCTGCCAAGAAAAAAAAAATGATCCTCCGGTCGGCAACGGTCGCGGGGAGGCATGCGGGGAGGCAAGCATACCTGGGGGGGGAGGGGGTGCCGGCTTTTTCCTCGCCTGCGCCTTCGGCCTGAACTTTGGCTTGGCCCTCTCGCTGCAACACGGAGAGGGAGAGAGAGAGAGAGAGAGAGAGAGAGAGAGAGAGAGAGAGAGAGAGAGAGAGAGAGAAAGAGAGATGCGTTCCCGGCGTTGATATTGATTGTTGGCGAGGTGAAATGAACAGCGACAAGTTTCTAATCGCTGCCGCTCTGTGTGGCATGCCCCCCCGCTGCGAAACAAGCCCGCGATAATGCATTCAGCTCTACTCCCCGTTTTTCTTGTCGGCCGTGGTCATGGTGGTTGTGGCGGCGGCGGCGGTGGTGCCTCCGACGCCGACGCCGCACCAGTTTGAGCGATCGAACTTTGTTCATTTCGAGGAATCCATTCATGTCTGATCGGTACCCGTGGGTCAGTGTTGATCACAAGCTTGAGTCGTTTTCTGATAGATGGGGTATGCATGTCTCCAGTGGGCCATCTCTGAAACGCGAGTCGTTCATACGAGCCTGCTGGGGCGGGAGATCGTCTTTGCGCGGGCTGCTATCATACGCGCGTCGTAAACGACTGCATGCCGAAAGAGGTGGATTGATGGTCCATCCCCTAGACCACCTAGACTGTCAAAATCCTCGATTCCTCTACAACCAAGTGGGTGCGGAAAGGGCCCGATCCCTCTGCGGAAAGCCGTCGAGAAGATGCTTCCAATACCACCATTCTTAGTGTTGGCACAATCTTAATCTTGGTTGTGGAGCAATACATTAGAGCGTTGAACATCGGTCTAAGGGGGGTAGGTACTATCCACCTCTACGGTATTACAAAAAGGGTGATGGGCTGCACATGTACTGCAGCAGTATTCCACCACTTGCTGTCCCTCCAGAGGGTCGGTTAGGCACGTACTGTATCATGTGTTTCTCCGCACCACGGTAGAGGGTTGCTGACGCCGAACGATAACCGTGCTGGCACGTTTCGGGCGAGACTTTTTGCTTGGCGTGCCGAAGCAACCATACGGCAGAACAACTCGCTCGTTACTGCATATGTACTGGAACAGTGTACTGGTATATTGTGCGGCACCACTATGCTTGGCGTGCGTAGGCAACCTTGGCCCGCATGGCAGAACAATTCGCTCGTTACTGCAATGTACTGGTACTGGTACATGTATATTGTTGTGGGGCACCATGGAGCCGGCGGAGGGAGTGGTATCCTACGTCATCCGTAATGGCAACCCAAGACAGCAAACCCATGCAATAGACTACCGTATATGACACAAGATAACACACCCCCTTGGCCGATTTTCAAAGCTCGATTTCTCAACAGCAGGAAGAGTCACAGCGCCGAAAACGGCGGCGTTGGAACCGTCTCGTCGAGAGCTGTTCGAAAACGTATTGTTTCATTTATGCATCCTCTTCGTCGTGGAGTAATCGAGCTTTGAAAATCGGTCCAGGGGGTGTGTTATCTTGTGTCATATACGGTATGTATATCATGATCAAGTAAAGCGAGCGAATCGTAGTTCGCCAACCGCAGCAGCACGAGCGCATCAGCAAACGGAGCACAATTCACAAAAGTAGTACGTAGCAGCCGTGCGATCACAGGTTTGAATTGCTCAGTGAACGAGTGGCGCAGTTGCCAAAGATGCACACCACCCCTGCCGCTGCTTGCGGTGGTAAAAAAGCGACGTCCTATCCTCTCAGCTGTCGGTGTACGTGGCATCTCTGCACCTAGCGGCTACCGCAGAAACAAACGCAGCAGGGAATTATCATCCATGGCCCACGCCGCATACAGCAGACGGCCGTAGGGTGTGTATATACATGGCAGAGCTGACGAGAGACCCGCAAGAGCGGGGGGGTGGTAACATGTGTACCACCACCCGCCGTCGCAGCCCGTCATCCGTCCGAGAGCCAACCACAAGCACGGAGAGATCCTGGATGTTGCTCACCTTCCCTTTCCGTCTCCGGGTTTCATGGCTGCCGAGCCTCCAAGGCGATATACTCCAACCAATGCTCTTGTGCAAACTTGCGCTGGGCGCCCGAGCAGGCAAACAGAAGGGGCGCCGCGAACCCGCGAATTCGTGTGATCTACGGAGATCGCACGGATGGCATCTACGATCTACCTACATACAGCAGCAGCTGCGGAGATCAGGCCCCGACCAGAAGGAAGCCCCGACAGATCCGCCAGGCCAGTTTGCGTACCAGGGACGACAGCAGCAGTTGGTTGTGTGTAACGGCCATTTCCTCTGCGGGGTTCCTGATCTCGCCAGCCGAAACTAAACACGCGAGAGCCTCTCTGCATGGCCACCCTGCTGCTCTCGGAGCCTCTCCGATCGGAAAGGAGACTGAAGAAAAAGTCGGCCGGACTGCTATTTTGTCGGCCTCGGCGAAAGAGCCGGTTCCCGTTTACCATCCCCACCGCCTGCTGCTGCTGAGGCACTGCTGCTGCTGTACAGCTAACGGTACACGAACATACTCTGGGGACGGCAGTGGCAGCGAGAGGCGCTCTCCATCTCCCCGAGTTCAGGCAAGCGGGCGCGCACGACAGAGAAGACACGCCAGCGAAGAGGCAAAAGCACTGCTGCTGTAGTGGCGACAGCAGAAATCAGCAGTCGATCGATGCCTCAGCGCACCGCCATGGCGGCGCCCTTGGTGGCCGGCCACCCGCCCAAGTGCCGCGGCCACCCCCACTGCACCAGGACTCCCCGCTTCGCATTCCCGGGCCTTAGGGGGGCGACTCCCGCCAGGAGGGGCACGTGGTCTTGCGCTCCGCATCGTCTAGACGGCATGATCAGCGTCTACGCCTACGCCGGCGGCGGTGGCGCGGAGCACCAGGAAGTCAAGCCGGAACCGGCAGCAGCAAGGCGGGGCGCCGCGCCGCGAGTCCGCCGCTACAAGGCTTGGGGGGGTGTACCGAAGAAGAAAGCGGAAACTGGGAAGACCACGATGATTTCGACGGTCGGATTTTTTAAGGTAGAGCCAACGGAGAAGCGGTCCAGTAGCAGTACCAACCATGGCGAGCCGGATGTGGTACGGGTAGCAGCCACCGCGGAGGGCGTGGGAGAGCGAGCAGCCTCGCGGACGGCGGGGCTCTCTCCGGCGGTCTGCCGACGCAGTAAATCAGCTCGTTCGACAAGCGACGGCGGCGGCAGCGAGATGGCTGATACCCATGAACAGGCACACGCTGACGAATCGAACGTGATTCCTCGCGGCGCAACTAGTATCCGTAGGCGGGACGACTCCGAGGCAGATCCGCGTGGCGGAGAAGAGCACGGGGTAGCAGCAGCCGATAACGCCCAGGGCCTCCCCCCGCGGAAAGGGGGGGCGAAACTTGAGGTGGCCAGAGTTAGGACGGATGATGATGGCGCCGGCGTCCAAAGACGGCCGAGCGAGCGGTGCAAGGCGACCGATGACGTCGCCCAAAACGCCTCCTGCGGGTTTCCACGGAGCTCGAGCGACGTTTGCTCGAAGCACCGAAGAACGCTCCGCTTGAGCCCCGACCGCCAGAGGCTCCTTCCTGACCGGACTTGCGGGGCTCCTCGTGCGGTAGAGGCGGTGGGGGGAGACAACAGCGGCGGCGGCGGCGGCGGCGTGTCGAGGGATCGCGTTCTGGGCAAGCGTTGTGCTGGCGGCCGGGTTGCCTTGCAGGGAACGGTAGACGACAGCGAACGACGGCCCGCTCGGAAGAAGGCCAAAAGGGCAGACGTTGGTACCAGGGGCGACGTTGATGGCGGCGGCGGCGGCGGTGGCGGTGTTGGTTGTGGTCAACCTGTGTCAGAGAAGGAAGTTAACGTGCTCGGGGTGCCAAATCCAGGCGGCTGGGGAGAGGGAGGGGCCAATGAGCACGGCGGGTGGAGGTTTCCAACGGTAGTGTTTGACGGGGAATGCTTTCAAGGTAAGAGGGCATACATGTGCCTGGATTGCTTTGGTTTTCTGCCTCAACCCTTAAAATGGAGGATGCTGATCTGCACCAAATATTAATGTGACTGCTTCCTCTGTACCTCGTCGTCATGTTGAAAGTGCGCAGCATGTTTAGAAAGCATGTTTGTTGCTTGCCTCTCATATGGTCATTTGGATACTCCTACATGAGAACTTTGGAATCAATCTGTTTAGCGACCAACGATCCACGCCGTCTTCTTGGTGTGTGCTGTACCAGGTGTGATTTTTGGTGTATGATTCTGGTCCATATACTGCCGATATTGTCGCTCGCTCTTTTGCGTACTCTGGCGCATGGTGCTACTGCAGATGCGGCGGCGCTTTGGTGCCACCAGGACTCGCCAGATACGCCGGAGATGCCCACTAAACCGCCGGTAAGTTCGTGGGCGTGTCATCAACATGAGCACCAGATGTTTGGGGCGGGACATGCGGCGCTTACTAAATAGCGTGCCTCTACCTGATTTCCCCCCAACATACCATGACCGAAGCCCTCACGTACCCCTCCAATCGAGTCGACCTCTGCTGCAAGCCAAGCAACCCGAAACGTTTTAAAGTGTAGTGGGTGATTGGTTGGCACCTTTCCACACCCTGTGTAACTGTATGTGGACTATTTTTGCGATCCTTGCATATTTTCTCCCGCCGCTCTTCCACGCCAGCCTCCCGTGGTCGCCGTGAAGCCCGAATGTGCACCAGCAAACGCGAGCGTGCTGCGAGCATCCGAGCACCGGTCGACAAGCCGAGATGATACTCGATGCGTCACCACAGCTGCTAGCCGTACCCCGAGTTGTCCCTCGGGCGAGAGAGGCGGCGACATGGCTGACTCCGTCGACGTGAAGGCGGACCTCAGGGCGCTTCGCCGGGCTGAGAGGCAGCAGCGGCGGTCGCGGCAGCAGCAACAGCAGCAGCACCACCAGCAGCAGCTAGGGCAAGAAAGCCAGCGGGGGAAGAAGAGAGCGGCTACCGCTGAGGGGGAGCGGAGCGAGCGGCTAGAGAGAGCGACAGCGGATAATGGGGGTGCGGACGGAGTCTTCGGCGCAGAGGCAGGCCTCCGAGACAAAGGGTATGATCCGAACCGGTGTCTAGTTGGTCGCGCACGAGCCAAAACCGTGAACTGGAGCATGTTGTGACCCACAAAAATCTTGAATCGGCCTTTTTTTTCCCCGGAGAATTAATATGCCTAGGAAGGTCGTTTGGATCCAGATCATTTTTCCCTTGCAGACCACCCCCCCTCGACCGAGAGCAAAAACAAATATCCGAAATAATCAAGCCGTAAGACTCTGCCTAAAGGAAGTTGGGGGTCAGGGTTAGGGATAGGGTCTGCGTACCCCGTCCGTGTTCTATTTCCCCACAAACTTATCTTCTTGCGAAGGCGGTCCCAGAGGTTGTCAGTGTTGTAGACTAGACCTACACGATCCCGCCACGAAGCAGGGCGCCAAGGCAAAGGCGTAATCGTTGGAAAAACCGGGCTGTACGTACAACGACCACCGGGTTTAAACCGTAATCATCGTCTAGCCCTAGTTTGCGCTCAATTTTTTCGTCCCCCGTGTCTAGCCCCCCCGGTGTTTGCCATCGGGGTTGGGTTTTCGTCGCTTGGCAACGGCGTTGTAAAACAAGCCCCCCCCCCCGGCGTTTGCCATCGGGGTTGGGTTTTCGTCGCTTGGCAGCGATGTTGTAAAACAGGCCGTCGCATCGTGAGCTTGGCTACCAGGTTACCGAGGTTTTTTGGCCAGTGTTTTTTTTTTCGCGGTAACCATGAGTAGTGGTCAAGAATATTATTTTGTGCGGAGTCGAGAACCCTCACTCCGCGCAAAGGGGATAAATCGCACGATGTGTTAAATTGGTCAAGCATCCTCGAGGCAGTTACACGGTGCTTATAACTGTCTCTGGAAGTAAAAGCACCAGAAAATAAATTAAGTCGTACGCAGCTATCATCCGTACGCAAGGAAGTAAGCAAGAGATGCCGAACACCCTTAGCAGGATGCAGCGCACCCTTCATGCGACTCGCCGAATACCTCACGGTGCTTCGCGCTTGGTGATGTGAGAGCCTGGTCCGGTGAGAACCCGGCGTGCTCCGTCCCGGCTTTGTAGGGATGCGAGGTCAATGGTCTAACGACTACCAAGGGGCCCTCCATCTGGAAACGTCGGAACACCCCTGGGCTACGCTGCAATCTATGGTCGCGGGGGGGGGGGGGGGGGGGAGGGGGATGGACCTTATATGTCCCCGGGCGGGGACATTTTGACAAACTCCTCGGGGTTTCGACATTTTCGGGCGCCTTTTTCAGCGCGCGCGCGCGGTACCCACACAGAGCTAGTGGAATTTATGGAAACACCCCAAGAATACGCGTCAATCTTGGTCGCGAGGTCTAGTGTATGGTGTAGGAAATGGTATGAAGACACGAAGCCTACAAATGAAGAGAATTTTATGGGTTTTAGAATGCGGCACGAAAGTCTATTC